ATATGAATTATGTTGTATTGATGATGAAGTAATTATTTATGCAGATAATGATAAGTAATTGAAATAATAAATTTAAAAGTTTAAGAAATTATTATGTGATCTTTAAGAAAACATTATCTCGTATTAAATTAAAATAAATTAGGTTTAGTTTAATAAGTTTATAAATCGTGATATTCAAAATATTTTGTTTTAAAGATATAAAGCTGTCATTCAATATATTCCTGAGTAATTTAAATAAAATTCTGAATGTATTGTATGTTTATAATTTCTTAATAAAGAATATAAAAGCCTTTGTTTAGAATATATTAAAGGATATTTTAAATGAAATATATGTTTGCTTTTTTACAAGAATTTATATTTCTTTTAAATATGTTAATTTTAAATATTATATATATATATTTTTTTTCAAAAAAAAATATTTATTTTTTATGTAAATTATAATGTAAATATATATTTATAAGGTTTTATTTAATCTTTTAATTATTTAAAAATTAATAAATATTATAATATGAAAAACTAAATTTTAAATTGATTTTAAATATAATATGTATAAAAATAAATATTAAAAATTATAAATAATAATTAAAAATATATAAAAAATAGAATAAATTGAATTAATATATATAATATATATTATATATTTATATATATATTTATATTTATATTTATATTTATTTATATTTATATTATATTTTTTTTTGTTTATAACATTATTAATAAATTAAATTTTAATAATTTTCATTTATTTTTATTTTTAAATGCATTATTAATTGGGTTTTTAAATATTTTTATATCAAAAAATTCTAATTAATTTTATTCATTAAGTTTTAGATTACTATATACATAGAATTAAAACCACATTAACAAATGCTTTATATTTTCTGAATTAAGTCTTCGAATTTCAATACTTTATTAAATTTCTAAATTCTTATTTATTCCTTTGTTATTTTATTTGAAAAGCTTTATTCTATATTAATAGGCTTATTTTATTAAATGCGCTTCTCCTTAAACATTAACAATATTTTTTTAAAAATCATTAATCCTCATATTAAACTTAATATTTTTTATTAAAACTTCACTTCTTAACTATTACTAAATATTTTTTATTATTTATATTTCTTACTCATTATAATATTTTAATTTATTAAATTCTAAAAGAATCATATTTTTAATAATATTTTAAGCTTATAATTACAAATAATATATATTACTAAAATTATTCAATTATTAATAATCTAATTAAAATTTTAAAAATTAGTCTTTCTAATTACAAAAACTAAAAATAAAAAAATTATTAATATTATTATATAGAACCTCAACTTCTTATTATATTTTTTTATAAGAAATAAAAACATGTTTAAAAAGGAAAATATTTATTTGCTTTAAATGAAAACCTTACTTCTCATTATATAATATCAAAGTTCTTAACAATTTATTTTTTTCCTTTATTAAATCTTTATATGATGGATTTAGAAACATATATATTTTTTATAAATTTTCACTTTTTAATTTTATAAAAACTTTAGTTTAACGTTCTCCTAAATATACTTAGCAAAATATGTTTTTAAAAGGAAGTTTTATTACCAAAAATTTTTTATATATTAAAAATTTGTATTTTTTTATTAATATGTTTGCGTTTTATATCTATTTAAATGAATATAATCTTATTGCATATTAGTTTTCTTTAATTTTCATTAAAGTAATTTTATTTTCATTTAAAATAAAATCTTAGTAAGGTATTTTTTCATTTTCTATTATTAAATTTTTGTATTCGTATTTTGTTTTTGTAAATATATAATTGTTATATTTATTTTCATATATTTAAAAAGTTTATAATTCTATAATTAATTCTGAATTTGTAAGACTTATCTTATTTTCCTGTAATAATAAATGATTGAAAATATAAATATTTTAATATAAAATGTTCTTGTCTAATATATATTAGCCCTTTTTGTTTTTTTAATAGATTGATTATAATATTTATTGGATTTCCTTACTAAACTTAATTTAAGAGTTTATTTAAATTATTTCTTATATTTTATATTTTTAAGTTTTGTTTATTATAATTAATTATTATTACTTAAGTTACATATTTATTAAATACTTTTAACAAATCAAAAAAGAAAGATTTATAGGTTATTCTTATAATTTTTATATTTCAAGAAAATATTTAGCATTTTTATAAGTAATTTCAGGCTTATAAATATCTATATTAAACTTAAAAATTGATAATATTTTTTTTTTTAAAAAAAAAAAAAGTTAATTTTTTTACATATTAATCATAATTTTTCTTTTAAATAATTTCTTATGCCAATTTTTCTTAAATAATTAATTAAGAATTAAATATTGTTTCTTTAGAATATTTCTATATTTTTTCTAATTGAATAAAATATTATTCTTTTTAAATTATTATAAATAGAAATGCTTTTATAGTATTTTCTTTTTTTATAAATTATTTGAATAAAATTTATATGTTTTTTTGTTAAAGTTCGGATCTTTTTTTTCTTAAATTAATATATCTTCTAAAGGCATTTTATATTGCTAAAGCATATATATATAATTAAATATTCTATTTTAATTTTAGTTCATTATTATTTTCTATATAAAACTATTTTTTATTTAATTTTTTTTTTTTTTTAATAGTATTTACGTAATCAAGAATTTAAAGATTCTTGCTTTTTTATTTCCTAAACATATAACTTATAGCTTTATATTAAAATTATTTAAGGGTACAATATAAATAAGTTCCATATTTTGTTTTATTTTTTTAAATTTAGAAAACTTGAGTTTTATATTTTTAATTTATGATATCATAAAATAAAACTAAAAAATATTTATTTTATTCTATAAATACAAATTAATAATAAGACAATTTTATAACGTTTTTTCTTATTTTCTTAAAAAATAAAATTTTATTGAATATTTTTAGCCAATTTTTATAAAAACAATAATCGAATTTTTGTTAAATTAAGTTCAAATTAGTTTTAATTCAAAATAAACTTTTTATAATTTTTTTTTTTTTATATTAATAGTAATATATATGTTTTACATATTCTTAAAATTAAAATTTAGTTTTGCTATAGATTATTTATTCAGCTAAATAGTAAAATATTGGTAATATTTATTAAAAATCATTATTCCTTTAAATTAATAATTAATAATTTTTTCTTTTCTTAGATAAAGTTTTTTGTAAAGAAAAAAGATATTTTATTTTATTAAATGTTATTATTTAATTTTAGATAGTTATAAATTAATTTTAATAAATTTTGTATATTTAAATACTAGATATTTCCTTTGCTTTATTCGAAAACAAAATCTACTACTCATCTTATAAAATATCGAACTTTTTTTTTTATAAAAAATAGATATTAAATAATATTTATAATCAAATTTACATAATCTTTTAATTCAATTTGTTTTGAATTTTTGAATTATAAGAAATATCTGCAAAGTGTTTTTGGAATATTTTTTTTAAAAAAAAATTGGCGATGACAATCCAAACTCTATACATTAAGTAAATTTTATTTTAAATAAAAAAGCACTTTAAAATTATTAAGAACTCTAACTTGACAAATAATTTAATTTTTATTTTATTTTAATTATTTTTAGAAATGCATTTGTATTAAAGTAATAGCTTTATTAAAAGATTTCACATTTAAAATATTCTTTTCTATATTCAAATCAAATATTTAATTAAAAAAATTCAATTAATTAATTTATATTTATTAAAGAACCTTTTTTGTAATAAGAGCTTTACATTTAATTTTTTTTAAATTTTCATATTTTAAATTTAAAGATTAGATATCAATAAATATTAATTTCTCCACTTTATGTATATATACGTTTATTAATAATTTATAGTCATAATAATTTAATATTTTGTAAAAAATATTTTGCTTATTCTTATTAACTATTGCTTAGATATGTTTTTTAGCTAAATATTTTTTTATTTATTTTTGAACTTTAGTAATTAATAATTTATTTTTGATTTAAACTACACTTTCTATTGCTTCTTTATATAGAAAATTTAATTCATTTTAAATAAAAAAACTAAAATCTATTACAAAATTATAAATATATTCTAAATATTAAGAGGTAATTTCATTTAATTAATTAATAGAAAAAAAACTAATATCATAAATGTTTTATTGTGATTAATTTTTATAGAAAAAATATTGATTTTTTAAATCATCAAAAAAGTTTTGATTTATTATAAAAATAATATTATTTTTTATTAAAATTTCTTATTTTAAAAATTATATAAATTAATCAAATATCAATGTTTTATTTTGAAATAAAATTTCACAATTAATTATTGTTTTTGGGATTAATTTATTTGCTTCTTAAATTATTATTTGTTTTTAATTATTTTAAAAAACTTATATTTAATATTTATCTTGATAATTTTATTAAAAAATAATATCTTTTAGTAATTAAAGTTTTTTTCATTCTACCATTCATAAAATTCTTATTTTTCACTATCTTATATAAATACAATTTAATTATTTTATAAATATCCTTTTTCTTATTATTCTATTTATTATAATTATAAAATTCTATTTTATAAAAAAATTTCTTGCTATCGAAGTTTTTAAATATTATGTATAACATTTTGTATGTTTTGGTTTTCGTTTTCATACGCTAGCAAGTTATAATGATGATATTTTTATTTCTTAGATAAAAAAGGTCTAAAAACTTTTCTCAGAGATTTATTATTTTATATAAATGTAGATTATTATTATTATTATTATTATTATTATTATTATTATTATTATTATTATTATTATGAATTTAAAAAAATTTACGAATTATTTTTGTTAACTGAAAAAGAATTTAATAGTTTTTAACAATTACTATTTTATATAAACTAAGAACTATTAAAATGAATTGATTTTTTAGAATTTTCATATAAAGGACTATTTGTTTTAAAGTGCATTTTATATTTTTTTTTGTTTAGTATATCATTTTTATCCAATAAATAATTTTAGAATATAATTTACTTATTTTTATTTTATAAATTATTAATTGAATTTTTCTTTATATTATTGCATTATTAATTAGAAATTTATATAAATTAATTTTAAAAATTATTTATTTTTGTATTTTTAAAATTTTTAAATTTATGAATAAAAGTTATATTATTATTATTTTTATTATTATTATTATTATTATTTATAATTATTTTTTCCATTCTTAATAATTTATCACTAAAATTCTAAAATAAAATTTTGAATCTTTATGTAAGTCTATGATTTTTTCCTAAATTATCCTCGCTAACTTCCAGAGCTTTTCCGTAATTAATTAAACAAATTTCATAATTTTAAAAATATTCTTATTCTACTCCAACATTGTAAAATGCGATTGCTAATGCATTTGCAATATCTATAAATTACTATTCTTATTAAACTTCTCTTATACTTTTGTTATTTAAGTATTTTTAATATTCTTAATGTAGTTCAATAACTGATTTTTTTGCATTTTCTAATGATGCATAATGTTCTCCCATTTATGATAAAACAGCTGATATATTTAAATATGTTATTCCTAAATTTTCCTTGTATTCATTTTTTTTTAAAAAACGTAAGGCTTATTCTAAATAGCCTAATGCAGTAGGTAATTTACCCTATCTTCTGTAAAAACAACTAAAGTTATTTAATAAAATGGCTCTTAAAGGCGATTTTATATTAAATTTTTTTATATCTGTTAGCTTTTTGCATTTGTAGAGTATTACTAATGCTTTTTCAAATTAACCTAAATTTAAACTATTTATTGCTATATCGCTTAAATATTTTATAATTTTTTCAAATATTTATTTAAAAGAAGATGTGCCTTTTTCTCTATAAGCTTATTCTAATGCTTTTTATAATTAAAAAAAATACATAATAATTGAATTTATTACTTAATTAACATATGTCTATTGCTTAATTGACTTTGTTTTATAAAAAAAATTCGTTTATCTATTCAAATATTTCCCTATATTCATTAAATTATTGACTATGTAAAATTTAAGAAAACAAAGAATCTCTATCATCTTCTTGCAAGTATTAACTGTATATATCAATGTGGCTTTGTGTATTTTTTTATTAAAAAAAATTGTTTGATTGTTATAAAGTATTATATTTTTTGTTTGTATAATAATTATAATTTGATGAATCTTGAGATTCTTCTTCTATTAAGGCGTTTTGATATTCAGCTAAATTTTCTGAAAAATTGAAATTATTTGAAGGGTTTAAGGAGTGAATTGAGGATTTTGGTTTCTTTTGGCTCATTTTTTTTTGAGTGTATATTAATTTGTTTGTATTTTATATTTTATAAAAATACTTCAAATAAATAGAAATTATAATTATATTGAGGATTTATTTTATTTAATTTAATGCTTTTAAAATTCAATATATTAAATATAAAACACTTATTTTTAATAAAAATTATAATAACTAAATTTTGTATTTAAAAGCATTTCTTAATATAGATATATTAAAAAAAAAAAAATTAATATTAATATTTTATAATTACATATATATTAAATTATAAATCGTTAATACTATTTTTTTATTTAATCATTAAACATATGTTTTAATTAAATTGTACTAATAATTTATAATATATACTGTTTATTAAAAAACATAAAAAAAATTGCTCTTATTATAGGACTTTTACTTTTTATTACAGTTTAATAAAATAATACTAAAGTTAAAGGAGAAATAATATATAATTCAATTATTGATTTTAAATATATAATAAATAAACTTTAAATATTTTAAATAAATGAATAAAATTATTATTAATACTATTTATAATATATATAGATTTAAATTTTAATAATAGTTTTATATGTTTTGAAGATTAATTTATTTATTATTTAAAATTATATCAACATTTTCATATTTTAGTTAACAAAAAAATATATATAAAATATTTAATATAATAAAACTTACAAAAATAATTAAATTAAAATAAAATATATATATTTAAATAAATAATTTATAAAATAAGCAATTTTTTAAAAAAATGAATAATAAAATAGGCAATCATCATAAAGCATCAATTGTATAAAAATTAATTTAACAAAAATTATAGTAATTATGAAAAAAGACAACAAAAAGTTAAAGCTAATATGGTAGCAATATGAGTGTTCAAAAAAATAATTATAAATCCAAAAAACAATATATAAAAATATTAAGGAAATTAATTAAAAGAAGATCTTGATTTAAAAAAAGGAAGCTAAGTGATTTTTCTTTAAAAAAAATTAAATATTAAATTAAATATAAATAAAAAATTAAAAGAAAGTTAGAGATATGATTTGTTTTGTGGATGCTTAATTGAGACAGAATCCTAAAATAAATTTGATCCGAATATAGATAAATAAATTTATGAATTAAGAAGAGAATTAGAAGAGTGTATTTTTATTTCAAAATAATTTTATAAAAAATAAAAAAGAAAGACTTTAAGAAGATTCATAAAATACAAGGCTTTTGAAAATATAGTAAATGGAAAGAAAAATAAATGAAGAATATAAGTAAAAAAAAAAAAATGGAAATTACACTTGAAGAATTAGCACATGATGCGGAAGCATTTAATGAATTATAGAAAAAAAGAATACTAGAACTAGAAGAAAAAAAAGATACAGAAATAGCGAAAAATGATTAGAAAAGAAAAAAGAAGAGGAAAGAGCAGAAAGAGATAGATAAGATAATTTAAAAAAAAAGTTGAATAAAAAAATGCTCAAGAAACATTAAAATAAAAATAGTTAAAAAATAAAATACTATAAATAGAAAAAAATATAATATATATTAATTTATATTTATATATTTATATATATATTTATATATTTATATATTTTTTATTTATTTATTATAAAAAGAATTTAATTAGATTAATTAACTAAAAAAACTGAAGAATTAAAAGAATATGAAGAGTTTCTAAAGCTAGTATGTAAAGAATCTGATGAGTTTATGAATTAAGATTAAAAAGATGAACCAAATATATAATCTATTATCGATAGATACGAAAATTTGCAAAAACTTTAAAAAAAATTTATGGATTAAGGTAAGAGAACAGAAATCGAAAAGGATAAATTTCGTGATGATATTAAAAAATTACAAAATTAAATAGAAGAAGAAGCACTTACCTTTACAAGTGAATAAAACTAATTAAAAATTTAAATAGAAGAATTTAATTAGGAAAATAGAAGATTGTAGAATATAATAGATAGCAAACTAAGTGTTAATAATAGCAAACTTGCAGATTATGGTTAAGTTATTTTATCCATTAAAAATCTTTATTATATATATTATTAATCAAATTTACCTAATTAATATTAATAATAATAATAATAATAATAATAGAATTAATAATAATAATAATAGTAATAATCTTAATAGGTTTAAAACTAGTAATAGCAATAGTAATAATAGATGTAATATGATAAAGATTCGACTGAAAATATTCTTAAATAGTTGGAATGGATACATTAAAGGTTAATGTTTTATTAACTTGTAAAAAAAAAATTGAAGAAAAAGAAAAGGAAAAGGAGAAAGAAAAAGAATTGGAATATAAAAATAATAATATTCATTTAAATTAGTGAAATAAAAAATAATAACATATTTAATTTTTTATAATAATTATAATTTATATTTTATAATAATTATAAAATATATATAATTTGTAATATTTTTAATAATAAAAGTATAATAATATATTTTAATTTCTCATATAATTTTTTTTAATTTACTGTTATGTTTCTTTAATAACTCAATCTACTAATAAGATAAAATAGATTAGAAAATTGGATAATAGTATTTATTTTTTTAGAATAAATTTTAAACAATAATTTTAATAAAAAATAATAATAAGATTAACTAATAATATATATATATATATATTTTTTTTTAAATAAATAATAATAAAAAAAAATTAATATATTAAATTATAATATATTAGATATGAATTTAGTTTGAAAATGATCAATATCATTAATTATTTTATTTATTAAATATTATTATAAATTTATTTTTTATATAATATATTAAATACTTATTAAATAAAAATTCGAATATATATAATTATTTTAAAAATCTTTTCAATTTTAAATTAAAACAATATATATAATAAAAATAAATTAAGTGACATATTTATTGAAATATATTTTATTTCTATTATTAACAAGATCAAGCTATTAAAAAAATTATTTTTTATTCTTAAGTTTTCAATATAATTAAAAATTAGAAATTATAAATTATTATTTTATTTTATATTCTTTTTCTTATAGTTTAGGAGATTAGCATATAAAATCATTATTTATTTTATCATTTTTTATTTTAGGTGTTTGAGGATAATCATTTTTATAATTTTAGAAACCGTTATTAGTTTATAATTATTTTTAATTATCAGTTTATATATTTAAAGTATTTATATTTTAGTTTAATCGTCTCAATTATAGAAAATTTATTTTTAAGTTTGATTTTAAAGAAGACATTTTGTTAATTATATTTAAGATTTTTTTTTTATTTTATTATTTTTTTGGTTTTTAAAAATTTTTTAATAAACTATTTTACTAACGTATTTTAAAAAAATTTAATTTGTTTTCTATTAATCTATTCTAAAAATAATATCATAATTATTTTTATACTTTTCTATTCAAAATTTTTGAATTTTTATTTAAAATAATTAATAAGAAAAAAAAATATATACGTATATATATCATATAAAAAAAAACTTATAAATAGTAATATAAATATTTAATAAATGAATTTATTATAAAATTATTTAAAAAAATAAAAAAATCATATTAATAATAATGATAATTTTTATATTAAAAAATTTTATAATATATTAATATAATATGTAAAATTAATTTTATAAACTAATATAAAAAAAATTATTTAAAAAAAAAAAATGTAATTAAAAAAATTTATAAAAATATTTTTTTTTTTTTAAATAATATTTTTTAAACTCTTAATTAAATTTTTTTTTTTTTTTTTATATTTTAATTATTTTAATAATCACAAAAAAATATTTATATACATAAATTAATTTTATATATATTATATAAAAAAAAATTTAAAATTTATATTCAAATTAATTAAATATTTAGTATTATTTTTATTATTATTAAATTAAAAATATATAATAAATATTTAAATATATAATCAAAATTATCTTTATCATATATGTTATATATGTTTAAAAGAAA